TGCCTCTGACAGTAAGATAAAAACGAACATTTTATCTTTGAGGCAGTGAATTGTTCATGCTTTGTGTATGGCTTTTGCTATTTTAGCCCTTTATCATTTTTCAGAATGCCTGCAGAGGCATAACAAGTCATTTGCTTTCTTTCTACATTTTTATTTTAAATTTTATAAATATTTTCATTTGTTCTGCCGCGCTTCTCTCAAACTGAACTCAGAAGCAAAATTAACTTAATGGCTTGTTAGAGATATTTGACAATTTTGCTTTGAGTTATTACGGTTGGCTGAAAAACAGTAACAAGGAGCAGAATACAGTTTTGTTTCTCTTTAAAGTAACATGGAAAGATTCTGTTACTTGTCTGCTGTATTGTGGGGTATTTTGCTCCCAAGGATTTCTAACTTTCAATCTCCAAGAAGACAGCAACACAGCAAAAATAGTTCTTAGCAGAGGAAATCTTCAGCCACTGTATGTATCGTGTGTGTGACAGGCTACCTTTTACAAGTGTCTGGATCCAGGAAAGATAAGAGTTAATGGGCTTAGAGTTTTGATGGTGAAGATGCCAGGTTTAGTCCATGACAAATTTGCAGTGACTCTGATTTATGTATCATATAGAGTGAGTGTTTCTTTGAATACTAGAATTATAAATATTTTTATGCACTCCTTTATACCAAGGAGTAGAAATCACCAATGTGTACACTTTGACAATCTTGCTAGTCAGCATTGTATTGGAGTCACGTTGGAGGGCATCCAGCACATGGAAAATTGACAAAACTTCTTGTTTGCCTTCATGCTAGAAAGGAATTCAGTTTTGTAATGATTAGGGTGGAGAGAGGCAGAGTATAATTTTTCTCTCCCAGAGCTCACCAGCTGCATGCTATTTACTCAGGAGAGGTGTTGCTGAATTGGGAAATAATGTATAGTCATTGCAATAATTTAAAATACACAAGAGGCTCCAGGTACAACAAAACAATCAGATTGTAGCCATAAGGATTGCTTTTTTTGATAGTAGGGTGTATAAAATATAATACACAGCTGTAGGGCTGGGATTGGGGAAGATAATGAAAGAAGAAACAATTTACAATAATTACTATAACTGAGAATGCTATTTTTTAAATCATGAGAGACTAGAAATATTTTTCAATGTGGCTTCATTGCCTACAATTTCAAATAGATGCTCAAGTCAAAAGGTAATGGTGGGCTTTTATTTCTGTCTTAAATCATCAGAGATCATCTTCCACTTTGCTCCCAAATTATAGTAATTCCGGCTCTGACTGCAGTGTTTTAATTTCAATAGTACTGTTTATGATTGCCTCTGTGGGCCTCTTTACACTGGAAAGGTTATATTGACTGTTTGATGGTACGTCATATTTGTCCATGTTTACTAATCCTGTCCTTTATTATGCTCTCTATCAGTTTTCTTAGCCTAGAGGCCATAATATATACCTTCTCAGCTCTTATCAGTGAGAGCTTCAGCATATTTACCAAATGTATCTTCCAGCTGTTTGTAAACCCCGTGAATTAAATACTGTGCGAGCAGTAATATGGCCAAACCAAAATACAGTCATTTTAAGTAGATGAAAAGTAACTCTCTCAGAGTACTTGAAGGTATTTGACATCGTAGCCTTACCACTTACTGTGGTCTTACCAGTTACTCTATAAATTCCAAGAAAAACAAGGTAACGATAAACGGCAGAACATACAGAAAAATAAGTACAGTAAAATAAAATAAAACGGCAAGCTTTTTTTTTTTCTTTCTTCAGGTCATGAGGAAAAGAATGGAGCACATCCCCCCTTTTTCTGTGATAAATTGTATGTAGAAGGACTGTATTTGCAAAAGGTGGAGAGCTGGTGTGACTCACAGCGAAGAGGTCAGAGCTGGGCAGAACAAGTTAGCCGCTGACGTGAGATCAGACAATTGCAAGTACCGGGAGGCAGGCAGGAAGCACACTGCAATTCTGGAACAGGATTTTGATACAAACAGGCTGCCTAAGAGCATGCAGTGGAGCCAAGGAATTGTGTTCCGTGATATATAAAAATACTAGTCTCTTATTACCAGATCTTACATGGGGTCACAAAACATTAATAAACTTAAGGATCTGATTACAAAGCTTAGTTGATAGTTAATATTTTATGCATTCGAGGTGTGTTACAAATAATACAGTTATTAAGCCAAGAATGTTTTAATGAGGAATACAGATGTGAGAGTGTAATTTTAGAAGTGAAAATCATCATATAGTATAGAGTGGTTCTCTCTTCTTTATAACTGGCCAGCCACATATAAAAGTCTCTTGTTCCCTCCAGTTCCCAGCAAAAAATAATTGCATAAAGGGGGATTAGTTACCTGGGGTTTTTTTAAGTAATAAAATAACCCAAGTTTAGCATCTTTATCAGGGGAAAACTTAGTGCTGTTCCCAAAATAGATGGTCTGTCTTCGGTCCTTTGCCGATGAAAGAGCTTGTTATAGTCTCGGAGGAAGGAAAGATAAAGGATGATTCCTTTCAGCATCATGTGAAGGTGAGAAGGCTTGTAAGGGATCTTTTGTTGAAAGCTTGGATGACATTTTACTTGGTGACACATGTTCTGCTTTATTTTAGCTCATTGAGATAATTCGTCATGTACAATTCGTATGCCTTGGGGTAAATTCCTTCTAGCACACCTCCACTTAAATTTATGATGTTGTATGAAAGATTAATCTTCCCCTTTCATTGTCTAATCTTTTTCAGTTGTATGCTCTACAAAGAATGTTTGCCTTGTTTCACGGGTGGTGACTTTTATCTGATGTTTTGATTTCTTGTAGTCATAGATAGATTATCATTCCTCTATTAATTGCTGTGACATCAATGTGTGTTACTGACTCCTAAATTCTTTCAAGTTACAATTAAATATTGTTTTGCAACTTTACTGGTTCTAATACCTTCTTTTCGATGTCAGCATTATGTCCAGAGAAGCCTTTTTGTGCTATTTAGCAATCAGTGCTTTTACCTTTTCCTTGTGCTAAAACAGTTTTAGAAAGGTTGATGTGGCATATCATCCAAGGAGCTTGTGTAGTTAAAAAATTTCTTCTGTTGCTGTTGTGCAGTTCTTCTGAGATAATTGCATGAAAGTTAGCATAGTAGCTTTATAATTAACTCTCAGAAAAAATCATTAGATCATCTGGTCTCATCTCCTGTATATTGGAGAACATATCTAAACTTGGGTGCTTCTGTACTTTACACAGTAACCTGTATATGGCTGAAGCACATCTGAATGCATTGAGAGATGGGAAATCCACCCCTTCTTTGGCAGTTTGGTGCACTGGTCAGTGACTCCAATGGTAAAAATTTATACCTTGCTTCTCTTTTGAATTTGGTTGATTACAGCTTCTAGTCATTGGTTCTTGATCACCTCCTCATTGAAGAACTTTTTAGTACTCAGGTTTATTTTTCTATGCAAAAGGTACTTGTGTGCTACATAATCAGGTCATCGCTCAGTCGTCTTCTCAGTACTTTGCCAGGTTACTCTTTCTTAGTGTCTAGGCAAAAAGCCTTTCCTCCATCCCGTCAATATTTTTTTGTTTGCCCTTCTTCAGTTTTCAGTATTCTGACCCTAGCAGCTTAAGGGCACTGATGCTCAGACTCCGTAATGAAGATACAAATATCTCTTTCCTTCTTTTACTGTCTGGCTCCCTCCACCATGGCAGGGGATAATAAGGAAGAGTGGTAGGCATTGACAGAGGAAGGACTTCTGAAATGCATTTTCTTTTTTCCATCTTTTTCTTCCCCCATGGGGAAGAACTGTTGTCGTTTTTCATTCTGTTGAATGAAGATATCTTATAGCCATATGGGTTATTCCTCTTTCTCCTAGTGAGGTTAAAACATTAAAACGCTTCTGTGTGATCAAGGCTGTAAGTTTTTATAGGTGATGACTGCAGAGCACATCTGTTGATTCAGCACACCGTTGCCAAATGGCTGGCACCTTCATAAACTACTTGTTTTAGGAAATTGAGAGGATGTATCTGCTCTATGCTGTTGCATTTATTAAGCTTGCCAGTTATCTGACATTAAGGCCCCAGTGCATGCAACACGAAGACAATCTGAATCCAGCTTTATTGATGCCGAGTTAACAAAAATATTTTGAAAATATCGTCACACAGAACTGATCTAATACATCATAAGAGTCCTCATTCAAGAGAAATAAATCCCTGATTTGACCACAAGGGTAGAAATGCCTTGCAATCAGCTACCCATTTTGGCCATCACTTAAGTCACTGAGAAAGCTGATGGTAAATAGTAAAGATATGCTTGTATACGCTTGACATGTTTGGTGTAAGTGGTTTTAGCAGGTGAATAATCTAGAATTGATTCCCCACCATGTCCATTACAGCTTCTTTGAACTTTCTGTATTGCTAAGTGAGTGACCTATTTCTTCAATCTAAAATTAGTGTTTGTGGTTCCATTTTTAAAGTGCTTCCAAGTATATCCACTTTTGCACCCCTGCTGCTTGCTTTCATTATACAGTAAAGCTGATTGTTTCTCCCTGTAGCAAAGAAGTTACCACATTTTAAATTCTTTTCCTGTACATTGATCCAGAGGGAGAATGCCAGCAGTTTGTTAGGGGTTTAAGAGTACAAGTTCCCCTGACTTTTCAAATTGTATTCATACACATAGGAGTCCCACTATGCAGATGAGGGACCAGAATTTAATCTTTGTGGTTCTTGTTTGTTAGGATGTATTTCATAGCGGTGTGTGGGAAAACCCAGGAGAGATGCACAAATTCTTGCAAAAAAATTATTTGGCTCTCTAAGGAAGCCTGTGTGAGACACTGCTTTCAGCAACATCAAAATGTTAACTGCACATACCAGACTTCTTCATTCATGCTGCCAAAGGAATAATAGGATTACCCTGCTTTGTTTTGCTTTTTCACCCTGGCATTAAATGAACTGAAACTTGATGTGTGGGTCTCTGGAAAATAAGGTCAGTTGAAAAAGAGTTCATTGTCCTTTTATTCTTATTCTTCTTAGGTGTTCACAGACAAGTTCAAGTTTATTCAGAGAACCATGGCAGAAGGTGGATTTGATCCTTGTGAATGCATTTGCTCGCATGAACATGCAATGAGAAGACTGATTAATCTGGTAAGGGTAACATGAAGATATTTGGAAGGGTGATTATTCAGACATTACTTCAGCTCTTGCAGATTTGCAGTTACTGATGCTTTTGATTCTGCTTATTCAGATGCATGTACATTTAGAATCTGTATATCTGAGTTTCTGATGAGCTTTTGAATAGTTAATACAAATGATAGCTTTTTGTTTGTTTCCCAGGGCTGCATTTTGACAGCATTAACAGTATTTCTATTGAAGTGTTTCTCTGTAGCCCTTTTTTAGTCTGCATAAACCCAAAGAAACTACCCTGCAAACTCTGAGTTCAAAGTGATACTACACATATGAAGTTCCACGTGCTCATGTGGCAAGATAACAATGTCTAAATTTTTTAAAATTAACCTTTTAAAAATTCTGAAGTTGAGAATCCAGTGATTTTGAGTTCTGAGTTCTGTTTCTTGCTACGTCATTGGTATGGTTGAGCAACTTCAGGCAGATTATTTTAGATTGCTGTAACTGTGACCTGTAAAATAGCAATGATTCTTTGCTTCTGTATGGAACTTGGGTCACTATTTAAGAAAAAGGTACAAAGTGCTATTTTTTTTTTCTGAGTAAAAGTATATATTTTTTAAAATAATGCTAACTGGCATTATTGGCAATATTGGCAAACTGTGGCCAATTAGGTGAACTTGATTACAACTCAATTTTGGTTAAACTGTTTTTCAAGCTCACATTGTAGCTTCATTTGATGTACTTCCTGTTGTTGTTTTTTGTAAATTCGTTTTTATCCCATGACCTTTTAAGTTACTGAGTACATCTACTGCTCAAGGCAGTATGTGTGAAGAACATCCTCTCTAGGATCAGGCCCTTCTTCAAGAGGTTTCTTGTCAGTATTTTAGGAAGGTTGTCAGGAAAATACAGCATCCACTAGCCTATGGTAAGAGCAGGGCTAATGTGCAAGTCCCCAAATAACGTATATCTGGGAATAAGGAATCAATTTGTATGCTTGCCCTTAAAATAAAACCACTTCCATGTGCATACATCCACAAAAGAACAAACTTGTTTTAAACAGCGCTTTACAAGAATTATATATAGCTTGCTCTTGCAAATGTGTGGGTTGCACTCATGTAGCCCTGCTTCACCCTGAATCCTGAGTGTCCACACTTTCTTGGGCTTGGAGTGCATGGTTACGCTTTCTCATGCCAGGGAAGAGCCTAAAGCCATGCAGATGCTGTACCTGTGTGTGCTCTCAGGGAGCTTGGATGACCCTGTTTTCCAGAATTACTCTGCTCAGAGTAAGCAGAATTCATCACCCGTGTCCATAACACAGCACTGCAGAACCTGTGCCGTCATGTTCTCCCATTGTGCCCCTGGGCCCATGCACACACAATGCCTCCTCAAAAATGCATGGGCCATACTGGGAGCCAAAACACTCCAGACCAGGCTCTCTCAGTGGCAGGGCTGCAGCAGTGGCTGCGGCAGAAGGCAAAATGATCCCCCACAAGGACAAGAGGAAATGACAAGCACTTGTCATTTCACAGACCACGAGACCCTTGGGGCTGGAGTTGCCAAACAGACCAGATCCATGTAGTGGCGAGGTGCACCAAAGTCCAAAATGACACCAGACAAATAGGGCATGTCTGCTTAGCCAGTTCCATGGACTTTATGGGCCTGATATAATTTTTCTTTGGTAGTTCCCAAGCGTGGTACAGCCAGCGCTCTCTTGAGTCTCACAAGTCGTTAGAGGTTGACTTGTTTTCTCGTTGCTGAACTGGCAACAGGCTTGTTTGAAGGTGCAAGAAGTGAAAGGGCTGTGTGCCCATTTGCTGGTGTTGTCAGAATTGTTTAGGGTGGAAGGGACTTCAGGAGGTCATCTAGGCTGACCTCCTGCTCAAAGCAGGGTCAACAGTGAATTTGCACCAGGTCATTCAGGGCTTTTATTCCAGCTAAGTCTTGAAAACTTTCAAGGATAGCAATTCTGTAGCCTCTTGGGAAAATTTGCTCCAAAGTTTGACAGTCCCTATGGTAGAGGATTTTTTCCATCCACTGTTTTAGTTGAATGTGCAGCATGGTGAAGAGCCCGTCTCTGTCCTCTCGGTAACCTCCTTGTAAGTGCTGGAGGGCTGCTGTTAGATCTACCCAAAACCATCTCTTCTTTGGGCTGAACAAGCCCAGGTCCCTCAGCTTCTCCTTATAAGGCAAATCCTCCAGCCCCTGGTGACCCTGTGCTGAATTCACTTCAGTCTGTAAATATCTCTTGTGTAGGGGAGCCCGAGACTGGATGCAGTATTCCAGATACAGGTTTGAAGTGCTGAGTACAGATGTGTAATCGCATCCTTCAGTCTACTTATACGCTTTTTAAAGGTCAATGCTTTTGGTACAAGGGCGTAGAAAATTGCAGCTTCTGTGGAGGACAGTTGTCTCTTCTGTGGAGTCTTTACATCAGGGGCCAGCCATCCTATCTCACGCTTGCCAGTTAGAGGCACAATTTCAAAATATTCTGAGCTCTCCCTGCTACCCCCGTAGGGGTGCTCGTACGCATGTTCTTTCCCAAGAAGGGTTTTCCTCTTGTCCTCAATGTGACATTTGTGCCATATCCCACAGTTGTGTTGATTCTAGACCTTGAGGCTTCTGGACACATGCTGCAGTGATGACAAAGAAATCCCCAGGACCAAGTTTCAGGAAGTTGGGAGGGAGAAAGGAGGATGTGTGTTGCCTGCTCTGTTCTCTGAGGCTTGTCAGATGCAAATCTGAACCAGTATGGTTCAGACTTTTGACCGCCATTCAGCATTTTTTATCTTTTAATTTTTTTGCTAGAAGATACAGGCAATGGCACCAATCAGCCAGTCCTTTTTATCTTGTGGCTGGAGGATTCTAGATACGAATGATGTAGGTGAGTTGTGTCCAAAGTCAGAAGAAATGCCGCAAAGGTCTGTGAGATTTTGTTCCTGGGCTGCTCCATGCAGTGTAAGGTGGGTGTAAGTGGATCATCTGGAGATACATTAGTTCCTGCATTGTGAATGTAAACAGAGCACATCATCGGTGCACCCACTTGGGCAGTCACGAAGACCAGTCTAACAGTGTTCCTGTGTAGTTGCAGGAATGGAGTTTATCGCCCAGTGCCCAGCTTCCTAAAAGACCATACCAATTAGCACTGGAAACTGCGAGGAGTAAGGGGAAATGCCAGATCTCATCTATCCTAAAAAGCAAAAAAGATGCTGCTAAATATTTATAAGAGCAAATCACTAGCTGGGATAATTTGGTGGAATCTAGAAAGGAAAAGTCTCAGTCAGCATCCAGACTATCCTCAAGTAACCTGTTGCATGATTTTAGCAGGAGACTCGCTAAACCTTCATTGTTGCATCTGTAACTTTTACACTTCAATAAGAGTTTGCTTTCTAAGCTGCTGTTTTGTCACTCAATCTTACACAACATAAGCAAACAGGAATTTTACTATTTGTTTTAAAAGGAACCCCTGGACATCACTTCTCAGAGTTGCTGAACCCCACAAGTCTCAGTGGAGACTGGGGGCCCACTGCATCTAGTGCCCGCTACATCTAGTTGGATCCTCAAAACCTTCACTCCAAAACCATTGTGATGCAAGAAAGCTAGGCAGTCTGTAGTTGTTCAGCCTTGGGGGGGTGAAAAATATCCAAACATGCTGTATACCCAGAATGGTTCCCTATACCTACTTAATTGTTGATTCTTTTTGACCTAGATATGTATAAAACACACCAGAGCACATTTGAAGGGTGTTACAGCTGGGAGCACTTTTCGGGATTTGTGAGCAAATTGTGTAGCAAGGTGGTTGTAATTATCTCCAGACTGAGGAGTGTAAATCCAGAAGTTCAGAGTTAAGGTCAAATTTAACAGAATAACTATGTAATTATAAGAGATGCCCAAGTGTGAAAACGCACTTTTTGGATTCTTCAGTCCAGTAATGACATTGTGCAAAAAAACCATGATTGATGTAGGCTTTAATAACTTGCATTTGCATTGAAGTAAGCTAATTTTTACAGACTAACTTGTTTATGCCTGTATAGAACAGCACTGATAAGAATCATGGCTTATGCTAATGAAGAAGGCATGATGTATTCAATTATGACTATTACATGTACAGTTAAAAATTCATATTCAAATACACAGGATTTCTGTTAGAGTTAACTATGGGAAATTTGAATGACGCTGCTGTGCCAAGGTTAGAAGGAGGTCAAAAAGTCTGACTCTACAACCTGAAGTTCTCTTTTTAATTCCCGAAGTGTTACTTTTCATTTCTATTTTAATTGGTGTATTTACTTTGAAATTCTTAGAAAAGGTATTTGGTATTCAAAGTACAATTTGTGGATGAATACATTGGTTTTTTATATATAGCATATAATTTAAATCTCTACTTGAAATGCAGACTTCAGTTCATCTTGTCATTACAATTAATGCTTATACAATTAAAAAAAAAGCTATTGTCACTTAAACTATTTTTCCTTTCTGCTATTAGCAACGCTGCAGAAAATTACAAACAAGCAAGCTGTTTGTTTTTGAAAAGCCTAATTCTTACTAAACTATGTGGTTTGATTATTTTCCTGTCCTTCATTTTGCTTGACTAAGCAGGGGTTTGTTTTGTTGAGTTTTTTTCTTCTTGATTCATAATACCATGCAGATTTTATGGACAGCAGACAACTTCTCTAATGTGCATGATACTTTTAAAAGATTTTTTTCTGCTTATTAGGTTCACTGGGAGATCCTGTTCATACCCACAGTCCTTGTAACTATACATACATACTTCAGTGGTATTGAATTCTCTTATGCTGAGTGTTCCATCATGTTCCTGAAGTGGATTTTTCAGGGTTCTCCTGGGTGTCAAAATATGAAAATTTCACACATGGTAAACTTCTATAGTATGGCCACTGTAAATAATAAGCGAATATGATTTCCAAACATTCCTAGGAAGGAACAGAAATCTAAAGTCTTTGGCTGTGACTTCATAAATATCATTTCTAGGATGTAATACTAGAAACAGCTGTTATTATTTGGTGGTG